TGATGCTCTGGCAGAGTCTTTCAATCCTGTTGGCACATGCCACTGCTGTCAGGCTGTCACATCACTGTGAGACACATCTGAGTCTCTCTCCTTTAGACAAAAACTTTTAGTGCTGTGCCAGCACAGTGAAATCATCTCATTAAATACTGTAAAATCCACGTGATTTTTTTTGTGTGTGTGTGCAATAAGTGGAAGTTTGGACAATCACTGGAAAACAAAATTCACCTGCTGCATTTGTGGTGGTGGTAAAAATGTGCTGATAAACACTGCCAGTATAAATACCCACATTCAGAGCTCAGGCTGCTCATTGCTCTGGTGTAAAACTGGAAGGGGTGCCCAAGGATGCTGCTCAGACAGTCTTGCTTTTTGTACAAAACTCTATAAATGCATTTTGTTCTGTATTTTTTTTTTTTTTTTTTTGCTTAAAAAGAGTTTTGAGAAGCTTGAAATTTGGTTTCCTTGCCTTCCAGTGCCATCCTTATCCATTTGGCAGGCACAGTCCACAGCTGCTCGTTTGGGACGTGGTGAGAAAAGCTTACAATTCCCATTAGTTGGGGAATAAGCGGTATCATGTTTGAAAACACAGACCCTGCTTGTCAGGCAAATGTCTTTTGAGAGCAGCTCTCATCCCACCTCTCCATCCCCCAAAGGATAAGAAAAAAAATGTGTCTCTTCTGATGTTATTTTTAGACCTGTGCTGTGTGTTGTGTGCATGTGAGAAAACAAAACAGTAACGAAAGGAGGGAGCCCAGGGTGGCACTTCAGAAACAGAATTGTTGAACTTGGTCGTGTACCAGAGTTCTGTAGCACTGGGGGCTCTTTCTGTCTAAAACCATCCCTAGCCCATCCCATGCAAATGAGAGTTCATGATCACCTTGGCTGTATAGGTTGTCAGGTGAGTTTGTTATGAACAAGGAAGTAATTAAAAAAATTGAATGTTATTAATATAAAATCCATAGCTTAAGAGGTTTCTGCAGCTGCTTTAAGATTACATTTTCTGTACTATCTTTTTTTTTTTATGAGTTGTTTTGCAGGAGGCAGTGACAAGGATTTTTCTCTAGTTTTTCAGTCTTCCCAGTTGCATCTTCAGGATTCGTGGAACCCATTTTTCTTCCATCATCTGAAAATTGCTTAGAAAGTCAAACAGAGAAATATTCCAGTGGTAGAGCAGAAAAACTCAGAAACTGTTGCCCAAGAGTAAAGTACGTGTGTTTTCCACAATAGTTGGGAAGTAGAGTGTTGGTGGCCTTGCAGAGTTCAGGAAGTGTCTGGATGATGCTCTTAGTCATGGAGAATTGTGGGATGGTTTGGGTTGGAAGGGACATTAAAGCTCAGGGACACCTCCCACCAGCCCAGGTTGCTCCAAGCCCTGTCCAACCTGGCCTTGGGCACTTCCAGGGATGGGGCAGCCACAGCTTCTCTGGGCAACCTGTGCCAGGGCCTCCCCACCCTCCCAGGGAAGGATTTCCTCCCAGTATCCCATCTAACCCTGCCCTCTGGCAGTTTAAAGCCATCCCCCCTTGTCCTGTCACGATGTGCTGTTGAGTTTTAGGTGGTTCTGTGAGGAGCAGGGAGTCGGATTTGATGATCCTCATGGGTTCCTTCCAGCTCGAGACACTCTGTGATTCTGTGTGGTTTCTGCTTTGTGCCTCCTGGTAGTTTTGTTTTCTCACACTCTGTATTGCTAAAATTCATGTCATTTTACAGCTCTAACAGTGTTCAGCCTTCTGAGCTGTATTTCCTTGTCTACTGGGAGGAGAAAGGCATATCCCAAATTCCCTTTGTGTCTGCACAACTGGACCTGCTTTGCACATAGAATAAAATCCACTCGTGGTCAATGACCTCCTTTTTTTGAGCCTGTACTACTTTTGTTTCCTTAAAAGAGAGCTCCCATGTTTTTTTCTGTGTCCTTCCCAAGTCTGGAATTCAGGATGGATATTCCAGCTGCTGCAATCCAGTTCCAGATGTGTTTGTTCCTGGGGTACCAGTGGCTTCCTCCTCCCTGTCTGGAGGGGGATGGGACAATGACTGAAAAGGAGCAACAGGCAAGACAAAGCCTGTAATACAAAATAGTGTTGGCATGAAATGGGGCTTAAAATACTGTTGTTCACACTTCCATGTGTAAAAGGCCAATCTGTCACCATGTTTATTTAATCAAGGTCCCATAGAGATTTTAATTAAAACAGTGAGCTCATAACATCAGGCTGGTCATCTGTGACTGACGAGTGGGGTTTGGAACAGAGGGCAAAAAAAATGGGCCTTTTTTTCTGTGCCAGTTTTGGTAAATAATGGATAACTTGTTTAGATCACTTGTAGTCATTTGGCACAGTGATATTAAAAAAAAAAGCTGCTTTTCCAGTTGGTGCCAGTAGGAAAGAATCCATTATTTTCAGTGAGGTGGGATTGAGCCCTGAATAACTGTTGTAATGGCTGCTCATCTTAGTTTCTTAAATTCAGAAAATGGGAGCAACAGTTTAAATTCCTAGTTTTATAATATTTTACAGCACCTGTTTTTCAAATGGTACAGAAAGGGGAAAATTAATGGGGGTGAGAAGAAGGGAGAAACCCACCATTACAGTTCTTTTTGGTGAGGAAGGTTTAGATTTGGACTAAAATAGAGAAGATGGTAATGCTGCGTGACATCTTAATTTAAATCAGTTTGGCAATTGTAGTTTCTAAACTTGTTAGATGAGATTTTCATGTCTGTTCAGCAGGATAAACTGCTCTATTAATTAAGCTCAGTCCCATAAATCTCTTCTAACTTGCCATCAAATCCCAAAGAAACCTGGATCACGTTGCTATTGAAATGTGCAGCCCAGGAGAATGGAGTTTAATATTTCATTTGTCTTGTGATGTGACTTGTAAGATGTCATTTTTGCATTGGGAATAAAAATCACCAAGTCTGTCTTTTAATTGTCTTGCACCAGGAAACAAGTAATAAGCTGCTTGTGATTTATAATAATTTGATTTTTAATGAAAACGTATCTGCATGCGTTTCTTGAAAACAGTTTTCTTGGAGAAATAACCTCAGTAAGTCAAAACATAATCAGCTCGGCATTTCATAGCAGAAAGAGATTCTGGCAGGAGTTAGGGGAAGAGGACAGAATAAAAACAAAAATAAACATTCCACAGAAAACATAGCTGGTGTCACTGTTTTTGTAAATGTTGGATTCCTGCTGCAATTACAATTCAAATTGCCTTTTTTTTTTTTTTTTTTTTTTTTTGCAGAGGTACAATGTACAACTCCTGCAGTCAATCCCTAGGAGGTAGCAGGGCTCCTTGTAATTAGTGTTAGCCAGAGGAAATGAAATTAAGTAACGTTTCAGTTGATCATTTTGTATAATAAAGTTTTCTGTGCGTTTGTTTCTCTTCATTGAGCAGATGTTAACCTGCAAGAATCTTCTTCCTGTCGTGGGGTGCTCAGACTTTTTCCTTCCACATTTTTGTGGGTCCTGCATTGTTTCAGTTTTCCGGGTTCTTTGAGGGGTCACCTTTAAAAGAGGAATTTAGAGTAACTCTCACAGAACTTTAAATTATTGGTATGCTGTTACATTTATAGGTTTCTTTTTCTGAGATGGGAATCACAGGATGGTTTAGGTTGGGAGGGATCTTAAAGCTCATCTCATCCCACCCTCTGCCACGGGCAGGGACACCTTCCACCAGCCCAGGCTGCTCCAAGCCCCGTCCAACCTGGCCTTGGACACTTCCAGGGATGGGGCAGCCACAGCTTCTCTGGGCAACCTGTGCCAATGTTTCAACACCCTCATGATAAAAACCTTCTTTTTTGTCACCTTAGCTTCATAAGAGAATAGAGTTTGTGTCCTCTGGGCTGAGGGCAAACCACATCAGAGTGGGGCAGAGGGAAGACTTGATGAGATCCAGGAAATTGCTGATAATCCTGCCCAGTTCAGCTCAGGTTTTCCAAACCACAAAACGTTGGCTGTTCATGTGGTTTCCACTATGCAAGTGTTATTTATACACTGACAGAGAGGAGAAAAGGAATAATAAAAATCAGGCAGGCAGCCAGAGCTCTGTAGATTGTATTTTTTTATTTTGTAGCTCCCATCAAAGGGAGCTGCTGAGATGTCTTTTATCAGCTTGCTTTGCTTTTTCTCACAGAGGTGACGCTCAGCAGCTGAGTTCTGCCTCCTCGTGCTGCTTCTCAGACATCCAGACCCTCTTCAAGTCTCATGCAGACTTCCTTGAGTACCTTTGCTCGTGAAGTTAAGGAAACTTTGCAATCAAATATGACAGGAGGTGTCGATTCACTGTTGCCTTCGAGTTTTTCTTAGTTCTCAGTTTTCCAGGAGCCCCAGTTTAAGCCAGATCTGGTATCACTGGTCATGGGAAGATCCCTAGTGCTTAAATTTGCTAGGATTGTCTCAGACACACAACCAGTGCTTTGCTTAGAAATTACATCCCGTCTTTAACCTGGATTTTGCCTGTTGAAATCAGAAAACGAGCAAGTGATCTGAGTTTTCCACTTGCTGCTAATTGTGCCATGTTAAGCATGAGAATTTGGCTGAACCACAGATCAGTGATTGGGAGATTCTGCTGTGTCAGGTCACAGGGCAGAGAAAGGGCTGTACTGGAGCCTTTTCATTCATGGAATATGTTAAATGCACTCATTTGTCTTAATTTAAGACTTCCTTCTTCCCCCTCACCCTCCAGTATTATATTGAGTGCTATTGCTTAAAAGAGGGAGCAAGTATAAACCTTGTGATCTTTTAGAAGTGACTTTTTTGTGTTTTATTTTAAACAGAGGTTGCTTTGTGGTTACTGCAGGTGTTTCTGAATTGGTAATACTACCCCCAGGAAAAGGGGCTGAATTTTTAGCACCAAAAAAGTGCAATTCTTTTCAGGAACAGATTAAATTCTTATAAGAGGTTTGGTAAATTGTGCCTGTGTTACAAGAGGTTTTGGGGACAGCCTTGCTCCGCGGATATATAGGGGAAAATGGATCTTTCTGATGGAATTCCTTGATTTCTTTTGGTCTGCAGAGCCCCCCACTCCCATCGCCCCTCCGGAGCTCCTGGCCGTGGGAGCCACGTACCTGTGGATCAAACCCAACGCCAACTCCATCATCGGGGACGGGCCCATCATCCTCAAGGAGGTGGAGTATCGGACAACCACGGGCAACTGGGCAGAGACTCACATTGTGGACTCCCCCAATTACAAACTGTGGCACTTGGACCCCGACGTGGAGTACGAGATCCGGGTGCTGCTCACGCGCCCTGGGGAAGGAGGAACAGGCCCCCCCGGGCCCCCCCTCACCACCAGGACCAAGTGTGCAGGTAGGATTGCTGCTGCTTCGGGACACTTTGGTTCCCTTCCTCGCTGTAGGTGTGCCGTCTGAATTGACATTATGAATTTAGATGCATCCTGGAATAGTTTATGTTTTATTCCCTAGGCAGGTGTTGGTTTTATGTATGTGGTGTATTTGACTAAGTTTTGCCTCAGTGTGTGGCTGCTTTTTGTTGAAATGGGCAGAGAGGAGAGTTTTCTGACCAAAATTGTTCTTAAGGCTAGTCTGTGATTTAATACTCACCTCTAAGTGCATAACAAAATTTTGCATAACAAGTTCTTGGGTAATGAATCAGGAGTGTTTATTAACACCTTGACACTGATACCAGTTTGAGGGCAGTGTGGTGAAAGAGGAGGCATTTAGTTTTTAAAATGCATTTTTGTGTTCCATTTGATGGAGATGATTCTTCTCCTCACTTCTGACAGAGAGACCCGTTCAAACGCTGTGCACCATCCTCCTTTCCTCTTTCATTATTGGAGTGGATCAATTTTGATCCAGGGACAGAAGGAGTCTATCTTCTTTCTAAGCCTTCCCAGGAAAATCTAAAGGATCATGTTCCTCATGTTTCAGATATATTGGCTGTGCACTCTGTTGTCATACATTAATCATTAGCCATTAAGGGAAATCAAGCTCTGCCTGGCAAGGGGATGAGCAAAGCACTTTTCTGCCTCCCAGTTTTTTTCCAGCACACAACTGTCTTCTCAAAGTTTGCATTTTTGTAATTTTTTCCAAGGTCCTTACTGTGGAGGGAACAAAGGACAGAGACTAAAAGGTTGCTCTGCCCTTTTCCATAACCTTTTTTCCCTCCCCACAAATGAGTGGTTTACAGCAAGCGGATTTGAGCAGTGGAAATCTTACACAAAACTGTCTTGGTTCCAGTTACTTTTTCTGACAAAATATCAAGACTGAAGTGTGAGGAAGGCATCCAGAGCAGCCAAATGCCATCCTGGGATGGGATCAAGCAGGGAAATGTTCATGTTCCTCACCCACTGTCCACAGCAGGAGCACCCCCAGCAGCACCCCCTTCCTCTACCAAGGGAGGAAGCCTGGCAGGTTGATTGTGTTGTTGGGTGTGAGTGGGGCACATCCTTTATTATACAGGTTATAAATCAGTGAATATTTAGTGTCTGTTTGAGGAGATTTGGTTCCAAATAAATAAATCTGAGCATGAGGCCCTGGCACACAGAGGTGTTTGCCCTGTCCATTGGTAGAAGACAGATGTTTAGAGGCTTTGTGCTGCAGCTTTGTGGAAAGCGTGAAGTGACATGGAAGATGTCCTGGCCTGTTTAGGAAAGTTGGCACATGCTCTGCTGCTCATCTTTTGGCTTTCTTCTCCTGCACTAGTGTGGTCAGATTCTCTGACCATCATCAGAAATAACTGCAGGCCTGGCCTGGGACTGTGCGTTTGCAGATGGAGATATGATGTGCTGAGACTTGCTCTGTAGCTCATCGTGTTGCCCCTTTGCAGGCACATTCTCTGCATCACCTGTAGAGGATGCTGGCTTTGGTTTAATTCAGGGGTTAAAATAACAGGATGTTGCCTTTGTGCTTAATGATGTCTAGTCCTGGGTCCCAAAGTGCTGAGTTTCCTTGCTCGGCTCAGGTATCGACTGACATCGAGAGGGATGACGTGGGTAATTTGTTCAAATTGGCTGAGCCACTTTCTGTTTTCCATCCTATTTTCCTAATGAAAATCTAACTGGAGAAGGTCATTCTGTTAATGTTAGCTGTCATGCAGAGCTTGTTGAGATTGATGGCGATGGCATTTATGTTTTCTTTAGGGCACCGGGTGGGAGAAATCAGAATGATCTTGATCTAAGCATGGACTTGGAGGGAGAGACTTAACAGCTAAAGATGTGCAACTTGCACCAAATGCCAACTGAAATGATAGACAAGAAAATGCAATTCATTATTCCAATTTCCCTGTGTCGTGGAACTCCTGCAAAATACCCCATTTTGAGGATAATTACACAAAACTTTCACGGCAGAGATTTAAAAAAAAAAATGTGCTGAACTGAGAAAACAGCTCTGCTGCCTTGATTTTCCTGGGAGCACGTGATGAACGCCATCAAGGAAAACTGAGGGGTTTTTAAATAGTTGAGGGATGAGTGATGCTGCTTTTTTTCAAGTGAATTTTCTTGGTTCTTTTATTTGTCATTACTTTGCCTTAGCAAGAGAGGGAAGTACCAAACTCCTCCACATTTGTAGGCAATCAGTAGAGCACTGGAGCAGCCCTGTTTTACTGCACTGTTTAGTGTTGTGCTGTGTTTATTAAGCCCACAAATAAAGATAACAAAATTGACTGCAGAAGTAATAGTAGAGAATATCACCTGTGCTGGGGGAAGTATTTACTTATTTAAATTGCAAGAAATCAGTGTAACAATAAACAGAACATGTCTGACACGTTCCAAAATTGAGAAGTCAATGTCCCTTGTACTAAATACTCTTTTCACATAGACTATTTGTGTTCTGGGACGGCTGAATAAGTGCTGGCATAGCCTTCAATTTAGCCTTCAGTGTTGCAGTGAGATTCTTATTTAGATATGAAAATAAAAATTAGAAAAGGATTGGGAAAGACTATGTTTTTCTTCCACTTAAAATCAAGCAACAGGAGCTCATTTACAAAGTTCATTTGTTTTCTGGCTGTCAGCCTTGAATCAGAGCAAAAGTATGGCCAGGATGGGTCAGGATGAGCTTAAAGTCATTACACCATGATGCAGCTCTTACCAAAATCATCCGTGAGTTCCAGATTTTTGATCAGACTGAATGGAAGTTGTTTACATGGAGTTGAAAAAATTTTTCATTAGATAAAACCCCTAAAAACTAATTATGAAAGGTCCTGCTTTAAATGAGCACAATGAAGTTTTATTAAACTGGATAATATCTTGTGCAAATTTCTATAAGCAGTATGTGCCCAGGCATCTGTTACCCACTGGTGATCCTTTTGGTTTTCCCCAGGACAGCATTACAAGACTTGCTTAATATTTGATCTTTAGAAATGATGCTGGAAATTAAGTCCCAGCTTGCCTCCTTCCAGGAAAAGCCAAATGCCAGAAAATATGGCAAAGCCTGCATGAATTATTTTTATTATTTTATTATTTTTTTTTTGCTTGTTTTGGGTTTGAGGTTATTTGTTTTTTCAGAGACTGTGATGGGTCGTGACTTAGGACAGGAAAAGTGACCTTGAGGCACAAACCAGTGAACTGTCAGTCAGAGGGAAGAGTTGCTCAGCAGGGAATGGGGAAAAGAGAGAGAATGCTTAAGGTTAAGACCAGACACGGGGTTGAAGGTTGGTTAAAGGAAGGACAGATATAAAACGTTAGTTTTTACCCCCAGAATAACAGGTTGAGGAGATAACAGGATTAGAATGGTGTGTTTGAATACAGTTCCCAGTAGTGCCTGTATTCAAAACTGCAGTGAGGGGGTTTTTCAGCCCTCCTCTGTAGATAAACAGAGCTCTTTAAAATCCTTGTTTCATGGGCTTTGTTCGCCAGAGTGTGCTTTGGGAAGCTTGAGACTTATTTTCTTCTCTCTGCTTATTGACTGTTCCCCTGCTTTTTTTTTTTTTTTTTTCTTTCTTTCTTTAGTTTTCCACAGAAAAGCAGAATAATGGAAAAGACCTTTTTGGCTCTGGTGGATGGGGGAAAAGGGCAGAGCTTGCAATTGAGGTCATCATCTTGGGGGGATCATCATCTGAAAAGTGTTTGCCTTCTGGTGGGACGAACGCAGGCGAAAAGCAAGGCCAGAGAGTAACATTTAAATGAATATTAATAAAGGGACAGAGAAAAGACTTTCTTTACAATTAATATTTAGCCCTGATTAAAATACTGTCTGGAAAGCTGCCTTGAACATTAACTTCCCATTCACTCCATTAGAACACTGGCTGCTTCTTCATCAGTTGTTCAGACTGAAGAAAAGGAGGCTCAGGGGGACCTTGTTGCTCTCTACAACTCCCTCAAAGGAGGGTGCAGCCAGATGAGGGTCAGGCTCTGCTCCCAGGGAACAAGTGGAAATGGCCTCAAGTTGTGTCAGGGAAGGTTTAGATGAAAAATTCTTCACTGAGAGGGTTGTCAAGCCCTGGAACGGGCCACCCATCCCTGGAAGTGTTCAAAAGGTGCGTGGATGTGACCCTTGGGGAGATGGTTTAGTGGTGGACATGGTGGTGCTGGCTTCGTGGTTGGACTCGATGGTCTTAGAGGGCTTTTCCAGCCCTAAAGATTCTATAATTCTCTGCCTTTTTGGATGATGGCAGCAGGTGACTCGTAAAATGAGGAAGGTTTTGTGACCTTGTGGTTTGGCAGCAGGAAACTCCCCAGTCTGACAGCAAAATTGTTTGGTAAGGAATGGGAGGGGAGGAAAAGTCCTGAGAAACCCCATAATTGCCCCCCAGAAATGTGTGGCAGTGATTCTTCATAGAACAGGCTTATGGTAATGGAAGGTTTGTCCTCATATGAAAAAATTCCAATGGTTCTCATGCAGCCTATCCCTTAAAATAAGCTGCTGGAGCCTGGGTTAATCAGCAGAGGATGTGATTTAGCTCCTGGAAAAAAGGAGCAGTTGTCAAGATCAATACTCAATTTTTTGTGTTGGCCTAGGGAAATAAAAGTTAGTCTTGAATTATGGAGCTGGATTCAATACTGCTTTTAAAAATGCCCCAGATAAAGCAGCTGATACAAATGCAAATAATCAGAGCATTCAGAGTGTGATATGGTGTAACAAAGTAGTTGGAAACCTTTTTCCTCTGGCTGTTATTGACAGGCACTTTGTTGCTATGAAGTCTTGGGAAGTTTAGCAGTAGTAAGCAGCTTTTGCCCCTTTTTTTGTCATTTTGAAACTATATTTTCAAATTTTTAGAACTATTTTTGTCTTTTGCTCTGTTACAAATGTTAGAAAAAGGAGCTGTTTGTGTGCTGTTATGAAGTGCATGAACTGAACAGCCACAAGTACGTGCACTGAGTTAGTGTGAGCTCAGAAATAATTCCTTCTGGT